GGGAGTGTTTAAAATGTGATAATTTTTGGAGTCTTTTGAATAGAAAGATGGTGAAAATTATTATTTTGAGGATGGGAGATGAAGGTCCGACTGAAAAAAAAAAAAATGAAAAATGGAACCTAATTTTTGAAAGTCGGGTGGGTAAAATTGTTCAAAAATTTTGCACCCGCAACCAAAGCTCGAAGTAGATGAAATTTTGTATGGATTTGAGTCGACTCCTCATAAAAAATCGATGAAAATCTCGAGTCGATTTCGAGCTCTGCTTGCAACTAAGTCCTAATAAAACGTTTTCCATGGCCAGCATAAGAAGAAATCATGAATGACACAAGTCGGTCAATCGATCATATATCCAGCACCAAGCCAGTGTGACTCTTGCATAGTGCAGGATTTAAATCGATGCTAGCACCATGCCAGAGCCAAATCTATTCGATTAACCAACTTGTGCCATTCGGGAGGAATCAAATGTGAATAAAACATAAGACATGACCTTTATCGCATTTTCGAGATCATCATCTATATTTTTATTGCTTATTTATAAAAGATTCATAGCTTATGTAGCGTCGTCAAACGAGCGGAACTCCGGTAAACGATTAAAATGTTTATGCAACTGTGATAAAATGTCTGAAGGTCTAGGTCTATACCTTACAATCTTATTTTCTTTATCGAAAACATAAAATCGTATTAAATGTGCAACATGTGTGAATATCATGACTGTTAATTACATTTCAAAGTGTGCCTGAGTCTCCTTGAAGATCTTTTCTCATAATGCTCACAATGCTCATAAATTTGATTATCTAAAAATAATATGTGATGTGCTTGTATGTTGAAAATGTTTTGGCTTGTTGAAAAAAAAATATAAAAATTATTTTGACGGTGAAGAAAATCCACAAAAAGAGTGAATTGTTGTTGATGGGCGTTAAAAATTTTATATGTGGATCGACCTAATTAAACTAAGTGGATTTCGCAAAATTGTTAAAATTGCTCGTTTGGAGGTTGTAATTGAGAATTGTGGATTATTTGATAGCTTTAATTGAAAATTTTTGTAATTATGAAACTTTCACTGATTTTTTTTTGGAATGTGAGAAAATTTGGATTAGTGGATTAAAATTGGGTTTTTTGGACTCTTGGATTGAGTTTTTAAATTGACGAGAGTTTTGAGTGGAAATTTGAATTAAAATTATTGAAAACTAAGTTGATCTTATTTCCCATTTATATGCTTATAGCTTCGCTCCTATGAAAATCAAAATCTATCTTAACACTGCATTGCTATGTGATTTACTATCTTGAAAAGCACAAGTCGGTTAATCAAATAGAAATCTGGTGCTAAGCTGACAAAACTCTAGCATGGTGCTAGCTTCGATTTAAATCCAGCACCATTCTATAGTCGCACTGGCTGGTTGCCGGATTTATGATCGATTTCCCAACTTGTGCCATTCGGGTATATATACTTCCTACATAAGATAATATGGAACTAGCACCAAATGATGTCAAACTTAGTGCAACATACCATTAACCCAAAGAATATCTCATAAGCCCCTTCTAACCTCAAAAAAGTCCCTCAATATTTGTCATTTAATTTTCTCAAATGCCTTATGCTGCTCTCCATCATATCGCAACATGAAAGCTCGTCGCACTCGTGCCATATCTGATTTTATAAATTATTGATACAAAAAATGTTCATTAAAAATTGATGTATATCAGCCTCTCTATTTCTCTCTTGCTGACTTTATGACTGACTCGCTTTTTGTGTAGCAACTTTGTTAGATAATCGCATAAAATATAGTACATGAATTATGATTACGAATTGAGATCTGCGGGATATGAAGTATCACGATTTTTTTTTGTTTCGTACCAAAAGATCATATTTTGTAATGCACAATAAAATGTTGGGATTTCTGAGTAACAAGATTAATTCACTTTATGCACACGACTAATACATGACATTAATTTGTGGCCTTGCTACTGCATGGGTTGCTTCCCTTGGGGAACTTTTCAGATTGTTTGATAATTTTAGGCTGTGTGAGACAGCAAAGGATGCAAACATGCTGGAAACTTTGACAAAAATTCCTGAAAATAATTGCTTTGGATATCCACATCAACTGCACCTCAGCAAGACATTTAACTACCGTATGATCAGTTCATTTAATCATCATCGATAGATTTTCAATACATCTCATATAAATTTATGAGTGCTCCATAATTTATTACATTTTTGTGCTCTACTGAAGGCTGAAAATATGGAAATGTTTTACATACAATTTAGATTTAAATTGCTGCTTATGTTGTGCTTAATGGTTAAATTATGAGCATGAATTACTTTCAAGTTAATGAATTGAAAGCTTGTTGATTTGGTTTATGGAAATTATATTAAAAATCTTTTGATGTGGATTTGTGTATGCTAGATTATAGTTGGTGTGATCTGGATGTGGTTTTGAATGGATATGAATTATGAGATTTCTGAGTTGTCATTAGAGATTCCTTAATTAATTAGATTTTTTATAAAATGTGTGCCTAGTTTTTATACAAAAAAATTTAAATTAATTTTAAAAATCACCAAGCTCCTCCATCCAGCCATCAACTGTTAAAAAGATAATTTCAATTTACAGCACATGCTTCTTGTTTTCGATCCCTTTTTGTCGGAAAGAAATTATCTTTAATTACATCCCTTATTAATAATCCTATCTGTGCTCCAATTTTCAACAATTCCGCTTCTTTTTCAATCCCTTTTATCCATCACAACCTACTTGCCTTTTAACTTTAACAAAAGATGAAAAAAAAAAAATTCTCCACGAAAAACTTCAAAAACAAAAATATTTTTTTCCTTCCCTTTTTATTTTGTTGAACTGTTTTAAAGCACCGACGACCATTATAAACTGTACACGAATGAATTTTTCATACCCGCATCTGTAACTTTACCAACTGACTTCTTGATCCACTTGACGCAGATCAAAAACATAAAGCAGAAAGATGAAAAATAAGGGAAAAAGGAAAAAAAAGTCATTTATTTTTAGAATTGTGACTGTGCGTGTGTATGTGCGAGACTGTATGTGTAAATAAATGCGACAAATTGGCGTACGTCATGTATGAACTTTAACGAGAAGGAAAAACACATCAGAAGTGAATGAGTGAGTGAGAAAGATGTGATAAATTGTAACGAAGAGAAAAACTTCGTTTCCATCCGACACTTTTTCAATGTCAGCTTCTTGTTTAGCTGGATTTATGTTGAGGATGGTGGTAACTCTGGCATTTTGGTGGATGTTGGTGGAAATATTGATGATTAGCCTTCCATAATATCCAATTAGCCACTAAATTAAAGGATCGTTGATGATAATAATTCGCAGAAAATCTGATTACACATAAAGTAAGTGCAGAAAGGCATCAGATTCATATTTAAGCCTACCCAGATTCAACGAACTTAATTTCATATTCGACAATCTCATTAGCCTAACAGCACTGCGCAAAATTCTCAGGAAAAAAATGCAACTAAATCCAATTTCAAGTTCTAAGAACGATTTTAATAATATAAAGCTTGAGGTTGTTTGGAAGTACCGTAGCCTACATCACCTCCCATCCCTACCTGTGAGCTAAATTTAAAACAGTCAAAACATTTTCAACGCTTAAGAGCAACTGAGGAGTGGTCCTCAACACTACAGAATATGTACACAATCCCAATAAATCCTCATAATGCGCTTCCTCACCTTTCTTAATGCCAATTCCAAAGTCATATTTTCTTCTTTTCCGTCTTATCAAAGACAACTTTTTCTTCATTTGCTCTGTCACTTTTTTTATCTTCTTTTTCCGACTGTCTTTCCATAATATACCTTGAAGTTCATTTTTATTAATTTTCCTGCTCTTTCGTGACCTTTTTAAATTTTCATACGTCTCGCATTCGTTTGACTTTTTTTTTATAGTCACTTCTTATTCTTTTAACAAGTAATTCGAAGCAGCAAAATGTTAATTATAGTCTCTTGGGGAATTCAATACATGCTTTAGAATGCTAACATGTGTGATTAAAGTGAAGGAGAAAAAATGAGTCTTTAAAGGTGAGGCGGAAGAGAATGTTGTATTAAAGGGCAAGGCTGATGAAAGATATTAAATATTTATTTAGAGGAATTTCAGGAAGACGCCGTTAAAACTTTTTAAAGAAACTTAAAGCTTTATTTCGATTCCAAATGTCAAAATCATTCAAAATTGAAAGCTTTTCAAAAGCTGAATAATTTCCATTTTCCGACATCAACAATTTCACTCGAATACACACTTGACATGCAGCACAAAAGTTCTCTACCTCTTTAAGATCTCAAGTGATTACATTTCAAACTTAAACACATTTACAGCAGTCCCAAAATGTATGCAAAGTTCCACACATGCTCTCTATGAATCAGATTTGGCATTGCGGAAAATTTCTCTGTAGAATTGGATATGTCAATATGAAAAAGGCTTGAAATTGTTTATTTTGTAGCTATTTGTTGATGTGGAGATATTTTGAAATTTTTGGGAGTGGGAATGATATTGCCGAGATGATTTTGAGTCATTTAAGTTATTGCTTTATATAATTAAAGACAACAAATCTTAATGACTCTTTATATGATTAAATGAAGATTACAAATGGACTTTTGAGACAAAAATTGAAGCAGTAGAGCTGCTTGAGTTGTGGCAATAATTGAGACACTTGTAAAATTCATATTCTGGGATTTGAGGAGGTTACAAAGGGTTGATAGCACTGAGCTACTCAACCACTGATCCCCAGTGAAAAATCACTTATTAAACCTGAGTTCTGCATAATTTAGGAAGCTATCGACAGAATCTTCTTGTACATATCAATGACTGATTTATTATTAACAATAAAACCAAACTGTCTATCTAAGCACAGACATAGCTAATTGAAGACTTCAATCCGTCGACTAACAAGTCAATTCACAACAATTAAGATCCACAAAACCCAACTTATACCATATGCTATAAAAAATTGTAATAAAACTTTTCTTCTTATTTACTTCCAGTTCATGTGCCATCGCAAATAAATTCATTTATACGCCATTGGGAGCCTGCACACTTCAATCGCGATGCGTTAGAGCAAGCACATCGTGCACACGAGTCAAATCGAAGGAGGAAACGAGAGATCAATTACAATCACTTTTCACCACATTATGGATCGACAAATGTCATCAAATTCAACTTCAATGCTCATGATAGGTAAGACAAAGTTTGAGTTTGTGGAATCAACTTTGAAATTTAAATTTTGTTTTATATTTTTAATCCACAGAGAGTTTCGCATTGAAATGAGAGAAGATCCAACGTCGGTATTTTCTTCTGACATTCTTATTGAAGGTACTGATGGGCCCCTCGACTATGACATCTCTCGTGTGTACAGTGGGAAACTTGAAAGTGAGTATTTTTTTTAAACATTTTTGATTAAAATTGATTTGACTTTGCGTGAGAAAAGGAAATTCTAAGTGGGAAAAGTTTGACTTAAGTTTGCGAGCTTAGCTATGAAACTAGCAATTTATATAATGATAAACATGAAGAACAACTTACATTTTATAAGAACCAGCCAAGAGCCCAATTATTCAAGCATTTATCAAATGAATAGACATATTTCATGAATATAAAATACTAAAAGATGATAAATTTCCTCCCATTTACACACAAAATACTTTTCTATTTTTTATGTCATTTAAAATAAATCAAATCTTAACTTCCTTACCTTCCAACGCTATTTCTGTCCTATCTGTCACAACCAATAAGTATAAATTCCCATGAAAATTACTTCAAAATCTGAAAATATGCGAATAAATCTAAATAAACGTGCTTGTATGATTTTAAGCTCTTCGCGTTTCCATGATTTCATCTTTTTCATGGTCTTCTATCCCCACTTTCCATTCCACTGATGACTTCAAATTAGCCTACAAGATGATTTTCTCGATGACTTTTAAATGAACGCTAAAATATTTCTTTTCCTCGACTTCTTCGAGGGGTTCTTGATGATTTATTTACGGAGATAATTTTTTCTTATTAGGTTCTTTTTGGGATAAATTTCTCCCTTGGTTTAGAATTTTTCTGAAATTAATTTTTTGCGAATTTATAAAAAATTGAATTTAATAATTTGTGAAAAATTTAAAAAAAGTTTTGCAAGTTTCTTATTGTTAAACTTAATAAACTTAAATTCTTATTATTTTCTTAATTCAAGAATTTGTTAAAATTCTGACAAAATCCTCCAGAAATGTCAATATTTTTCATGCGACTGCCTTTTCCTATTTCATTTCCATTTTCTATCCTGTCTCATATCTCAAATAAAATCGAAATTAAATTTGTTTTTCTTCAAATTCTGATTTTGACAAAAATAATAAAAAATAATTTCAACAGTCTTGTTAGAAATGGTCGACCCGTGGATGGATTAGCAAACAGCATAAGAAGGGACAAACGTTTAAAGAGTAAACAATAACAAAATAAGATTAAAAATGCTTTTCTGAGGAATATGAAGGGGGGGGGGGGGGGGTTAAAAATATGGTTTAAATTCAAATTTACAGCTGGCTGTACAGATCAATTATGATCCATTACCTCCCTTAAATGGCTTTGAAGCTGACTCTATCGCTGGCTACCGTTTTCCACGACGTCATTCATAAACAACTCCCAATAAGTAAAGGAAACAAAGAGCCATAAAGATTAAGAAAAGGAGATAAAAGCAGAAAAAAAGTCCGTTTTTGGACATTAAAAATAAGACGAGGAGGATGAGGTCATATGCCTCATTAAGAAAAGAAGTCATCAAGAAATATTCGTAATTAAAAAGTTTTTCCAAGATTTTTGAAGGCGAGAAAAATTAAGAAAAAATTGTTCGAGAAATGTTGAAAATTTTGGGGTGACTCAGATGAGATTTTGGGATTCTTATTTAGATTCATAGATAAATCAGTTGAAAAATTCCAAGAAGCAGACTTTAGGTTGACATTTTAAGCTTCTCTAAATATTTAAAAACAATTTCGACGAAGAAACTATTTTCTCAATTCCAAAAACACCCCTCAAAAGTCATCGCCTAATAATTTTCATAATTGATCAACAAAAACTTAACCAAACAAGAAAGTCAAAAGAACAAAAAAAAACTAAAAGAAAAGAAGAAGAAGCAAAAATTGCCGATCAAATTTTAATGAGATATAAATTCATAAAGCAGAAGAAATTTTTTTCCTTCCTTCTTTATTGCTTATTTATCTTCAAGTTTTCATAAAAGTCCAAACAAAAAAATAAAATGAAGAAAAATTGTATTTTGTTTAATATATCAGAACAGAAGCAGCAGTAAAAGTAGCAAAAAGAGAGAAAAATTATTCTCGGGAGTAATTAAAAAACTTTTTTTTCTCTCCTTCCTTCTTCCTCATTTGCTGTGTGAAGGGAAGAAATTATTTTTTTCGAATTTTCTAGTTTTGTGTTTGTAGATGGATGAGTTTGAGGTTTAGATGTGAATTTTAGAGCGCATTTTATTAATGTTTGGTGATTACTTTTGGATGTGATGTGGATCTTAAGGCTTTGGTTACTATACAATAGATATGAAGTCAAAATGGAGGAATTTGCATTTAGAAATCATTTAAAGCTAGTGTTACGGAGCTACAGGAGCTAGTTTTAAGGCTTTCCGACATTAGAGTCGTAATTTTTGTTGAATATGACTGAAGGCAGGGGAAGGGGGGGGGGGGGGGGAGCTTCAACCCCTCAATTCGAAACTATGAACGTAATTTTACGACAACATTCTTGAATCCCTTTAAAAATACTTAAAATACACAATAAAGTCCAACATTTAAAAATCTACAACTTCATAAACAACAAACCAACCAGCACACAAAAAAAGCAGAACAAAAATCAAAAATTCAATAGCATTCCAATAAATAAAATTCTAGCGCACCCGAGCCAGCCGCAAAACATATTTCACAAAATTTCCAGCTAATAATATCCACCGACTGTTCATATTATTTATTGTAACGTAAAAGTTCTAGGGCTATACAGCATAGCACTTGTATCAGCATCAAACAACAGAGGAAATTACGAATGGGAAAGGAAGCTTTGCTTGAACAAGATGATAGAGAAAGAATAGGAATGAAAAATAATATTAATATTTATGATACTCAGGAGATCATAGGGAATTAAGGGGAAATTTAAATTAGCATTCCAGTCGGTCTTCGTTGCTTCTGCTTGTAATCATCGTTAAAGTTTTTCGCCCTTTTCAAAATTCATACAAGTATGTAAATTGTGAAAATTTGTTATTTTTAAATTGAATTTTTTATGAGATTCTAAATCAAATTTTTCTCTCCTTATTTTTTTCGGGGCTGAAGACTTAAAAGCACGAGGAAGTTAAATTGAAAGAAGAGCACAAAAAAGGGTTCGCTCAATTTTTATGGGGTGTAAAAAGGCATAAAAAATGTTTTTCCATAAAAAACGAGACTCAAAATTGTTTTTAAAGGTGATAGCTTTGGACAGAAAATTGTATGCTGAAAATTTAATTGCGTTGCGGTCTGGCGAGGGCGATAAAGATTTTTCTGAAAAAATTTAATTTGGGGTTGTTTGGATAGTATGGAACCAGGATGGCATTGTAAATGTGAGAATCATGCATTTAGAGCTTTAGGAATTCTTTAGCTCATTTAAAGAGGATTGGAGGATGTTGACGTAGAGGGAAGGAGGTGAAGAATGTTTATCAAATAATTAAAGATGTTACGCTTCATCCAAACAACCCCTTTCAAGATTTATTGTTATGCTGAATTATTTAAAATTGTTTTTAAAAAGTTTTTTTTCCGAGCAATATTAATTAGGGGACAAGTGGATGAAAGGGAATGATGAAACTTTATTGGGGTTAAGTTTTGAATATATTTTACAATTTTAAAAAATCTTCAAAGTTTGGGATTTTATAAATTTGAATTGTCTAATTTAAAACAATTTAAAACAATTCCAGAAAATCAGTCACACAAAATCTTATTAAATTCTTCAGACAATTAAAATTCTCATTCCTTAAAAATCCCTTGAGGCTTTTAAAGCATCTCAAACTATAAATTATCTCGACATCCACAAAACTTCTGCTAGCCCCTAATCTCGTGACAAATGACCCAAACCCAAATAACAAATTACTTCTTTTCATCATTCATTTGCTCAAAGTGTGCAGCACAGAGTCAATAGAAAGTGTGACAATGTTGTAAAAGTGATTAATGAGAAATTACACAATAGTTTCCATCTTTATTTGTTTATTCTTCCTCCGATCATGTTTAAGCATTTGATTTATTTACTCCCCAAATGCGGATTGATTGTGGATATAGAAATAAATATAAAATTTCTCTTCACACATTATTCTCGATAATTTGCTACATGTGAGAATCTGCAAACAATAAAAATTGTTTTTGATTGTAGAAAAAAAAATTTCTTTTTCTTTTCGATTTATTTGAAAACGTGAAGAAGTAAATTGAGCATGAAATTGGGGAATAATTCGATATAAATGGTGAAATGAATTTTTAATTTGAGAAAAAGATAAATTAAATGATGTTTTATTTTCGGAGGTGTTTCAAGGTTAATTGCTCGTGGACTGGGTGTTTACTTGTTTGTTGTTGAATTGATTTGTAGCCAGCGATAGAGCCAGCTTCAGGCGTCATATATAGCTATTGATCACTATTGATCTGTCCGGCCAGAGAAGTAAGTAAGTAAGATGCTGAATCGGATGCTTGCTGGTCCAACTATCGTTAAGTTGACCTAGTATCTCAATTTATACATTAATGAGCTTCATTTGATGATTTTGGACTAGAATTTTGAAGATTGTTATTGACTCTAGTTGTCTCTAGTTGTAGACTCCGACTTACAAAATCGATGAAAATCGATCGAGTCGACTTTGAGCTCTGGTTTTCCGTATTATAAAATTAGCAACAATTCAGATGAGGTCTTAATGCTCATTGTAAGGTTCACTCCCATTCAAACCATCCACTCTGTTGTTAAACATGCCCCTACCACTTCTTAAAGAGCGTCTCTACTCCCCCAACAACTTTATCCTCAACAAAAACAGAAAAAAATCACTTGTCACAAATTCTCAAAAAGCATTCAACATTTATGTTATTGTTGCTCCCCCATTATATTATTTACATAGTTGACAAATTAAATGAAACACACTTTCAAGTCATGGACTGAAATAAAAATAAATAAATATAAAGTTTCACTTAATTCATGCTCTCATTTTATGATTTTTTATGACATTCATTTGCAAATCTCATTTTAATGTTTATAGTTTCTTTAACTTGTTGGTTTTTTGCTCTTAAGAGTCTTAGAAAATTGTAAAATAATAGACAAATGATAGACAGAGCGAGGAACGTGTAGTTAAAGCTTGCGGCAATATGTAATTTTTTTCTACTTAATTATGCAGTTTCATCGCATACATT